ATAGGAAGGTCTCTCCTCCTGATGAGGAATAAACATTTTAAGGGGCCGTCGGATCAACTCCCTCTAAGAATACTTTGTGAGCACTGTAAAGCCCACATCCAAACATCCATACACACAAACAGGTCATGTGGGCCACACACGAACACAGACAACATTTATGTGCATTTGGAGGCCTACACACAACTGTTGTTTTTGTGGTGGCGGTGCCCCCCATGTAGTCCCCGGTGCTTTGGTCAGCTGGTATTCTGGGTGAGTTATCCCAAAGTGGACTTGCTGGCTAACAGCATCAGACAAGCTGTCAGCCCAGCTCATCTCAATAACAACAACAAGTCTGGCCAGCCCAGCATGCATGATTGACTCCACCCTGAATCCACTGTCTTATTGTCAAACTCATATCTACTGTTTATAGATGAAGGCTTTTGTTATGGTCTTTCCATTGTTTAATGATGCTGTTAAAAGCCTGTGCTATGGCTTTAAGTCCCTTTGTGCTTATGGCACCACTTATAAATCCTCCCAAATGACATCTGAACTATATGAAGAATAACTATGTGCTGAAGCAATCCTGTGTCTGTCTGTGTGTGATGAACAATCCATCACAGTGAACCATCTTGTGATCTATTTCAAGCGCCACCGCTGTCAAATCTTCTCCCCATTGCCAGAACGGACAATAAGTAACATATGATCTCTCACACACAAATACAAGATGAATCAAGCGGCTTCACATTCTCGCCGTTTCACACATGTTCTTACTTTAAGACATGATGCAAGACCAACTCATATAGCTGTGGATTTTCCTTCACCTCATTCACAATTTCTCTTTTTTTTCTCTCTCCCCCGAGCAAAGTGTCTCTGCTCAGTGTGTTGGAGCATCTGCAGTCAGACGGCCTCTTCCCGTCACCCCCCTCCCACCACCACCACCACCACCAGCCCCGCCCTGCAGCGACAACCGCTCTAACTGCAATCTCTTGTCAGCAGGGACAAATATTGACTTGTTCGGTGGCCCGACCTCTGCCAGGATTAGAGCCCCGCTTCCCCCCCGCTGCCGCCGCCATCTCTAAACTGTGATTATGTCCAACAGAGCTCATTACTGTCAAATCAAAGGATCCTTCAGAAGAGTCACTCGTTGGTAATGACCCTATTATTCAGTGAACATGTGGGGTTTGGTTGGCTTTACCTCCTGCCGATAGATAGTCCTGTCTAGATGCTGACAGCCTTTTTAGGACAGTAAATAACATTGTTTTACACGAATTGTAGATACTTTCCCTCACCTATTTAACTGCAAACACATTGCATAGTGCCTCCTACTGCAAATACACTCTTTCAGATTCCTTTGATTGTTACCCACAAGTCGGTGTCATCACATAGTCAAAGTACCACAGCTGATTGAAGTCACATATCGAATACACACTTCAGGATGACGGCTACTTTGCATAATCCGGTTACAGTCTGGATACTGGCTGTGAATCAATAGAGATTAGAGACCCATTAGTCTGAAGGTGTAAACCAAATGCAAGGCATTCATAACAAAGCTTGAACCCTCTGGAGATACTTAACGCTGAAATAACAGGATGGTGTAATGAAACTGATGTGAAACTACAGGTTGAAAGAAGTTTTAGCATTAGGATTTTCTCCACCTTTAAAATGGCATTTTCAAAACAAAAGCATGACTTTCACACACACACTCTCAATGAATCTAAGAGATCTGGTTCATATAACACATCTTTAATACAGTAGTTAGTTACAGTGATGTCAAAAAATAAAACATATGCATCAAATTGGAACATTTATTTACAGAGTTCCTTTGTCCCCTTTAGTGCCGTGGCTACACTGCGAAACCCCTCCACCCCACCCCGCCCCGTTCCTGTTCCCCAACAACATTTGTCAACTGCCATCTGCCTGTCTGCCCCCGTCTCCTCTCCACAAACTATATAATTAAGCTGCAACACCTTTTCTCCTCTTACGTCCCCCCCTCCTTTCTCCCTCCTGCAGCCCAGACTTCTACCTTCACAAACAACAAGCTTTAAAGAGGACACTGCTCTGTTTGATGTCCCTGCCCACACATTTTTTTTTAAACAAGTGCTTCTAAAACAAAACAGCAATAGGTCTGAACAAAAAAAAATGCTATGGTATGAAAATACTGTACAGCTTTATGTTTCATCCAGTGTAAACAGATTTCCATGTAAATTGATTTACAATTCCCAACGTCACAGAAATGAGAAATGAGAACTGTTGCAGACAAAACTAAAAATATACTTTTTTTCTCTGAGAATTTTGAGGAACAAAGTAGCCGAGGGGCGCAGCCAGCTGGCTTCAGCTTCAAGTCCACACAACATACAGAGCATCCGCCTCTCTCGCTGTAGAAGAGGAGGTACATATTATGGATTTCATGACTGTGAGCAGTGACAAAGTTCATCATCTCATCTTACCACGCTTTGAACAATGGACACGTAAAGTCTTTTTTTACAAGTGTTCCAGTGGTTGGAGCTGGGACCGGCCCGCAGCCCCGCTCCACCTTTCCTTTTAATCTCTAAACCTTGGTGGCCAGAGACTGAACCTCTGACTTCTGAGTCTGGGCGCTGAGCGTGGATGACATGGAGCTCATCTGACCATGCATAGCCTTCTTCAGGTTGAGCAGGCACAGACACTGGGAACGAAAACGCAGGTCAAAGAAGGCGTACAAGAACGGGTTGAGGCAGCTGTTGACGTAGGCCAGGCAGGTAGCGTAGGGGTGAGCCAGGAGCAGGAAGCGCAGGAAGCCGCAGGAGTTCGGAGCCAGGTTCAAGTAGGAGAGGGCGTCCATGCTCTTCAGCACGTGGAAGGGAGTCCAGCAGATGGCAAACACCACCACCAGTGTGGTGATGATCTTCAGCAGCCGCTTCTTCTTCTGGTCCTCCTTGCGCAGGTTGTTGAAGTGACGTGTGACCGTGCAGCCGATGAAGCAGTAGAAGATGGTCATGGCCAAGAAAGGTAGCAGAAAACCCAGGGCAGAGGAGGACAGGCTGAGCCCGGCAATCCACAGGGACTCGTGCCTCTGGTTCCTTGTCACCAGGCTGAAGTCCATGGCGCACGTGGTCCGGTTGCTGTTTAGGTCGTTCACGGTGGTGCGGAAGAGCAGCGTGGGCACAGCCAGCAGGCCAGACAGGAACCAAATAGCACCCAATGACGCCAGCATGGTGCCCCGAGAGCGCAGCCTGCTGCTGGACAGAGAGTGCACGATGGCCAGGTAGCGGTCAAAGCTCAGGCAGGTGAGGCAGAAAACACTGGCGTACATGTTGACCAGAACAACATAGCTGCTGATCTTGCACAGAGCCACGCCGAAGGGCCAGTGGTAGCCCAGAGCTGTGTACACGGCCCACAGAGGTAGGGTTATAACAAAGGTGAGGTCAGCAAGGGCCAGGTTGCCTATGTAGACATCTGCAGCCCGACGTTTGGATTTGGATCTCCAGACAGTGAAGATGACCACACCGTTACCTGACAGGCCCAGGATGAAGATGAGCATGTAGAGGACGGGGATGAGGGAGTAAGAGGGCTCCCACTCTGAGAAGTCACAGTCAGTCTCATTGTCGTCGTAATACTCATAGTTATCAACATATTCCCCAGTGGTGGTCTCCATGCTGCAGCGGAAAAAGATCTTTAACAAGACAAATCCTTGGTCCTGTACAGTTCCAGGTCTTCTGAGGGTGAACGGAGGCAGAAATCAGGGAATCACAGGAGCTGCAGGTTCTGCTGAGTTGACTGCTGGTGGGAATTGGTGAGTGTGTGAGAGTGAGTGACTGTTGGCGCTGTCTGCCTTTTTAAACTCGGCCCTCCACACCCCCTGGTTCCCTCCCAGGACGACCCCCCCTCCTCCTCTTCCACCTCCTCCCCCAGTCAAACATCTCTCAGCCCTCCCCCCTCCCCCTCCTCCTCTCTCTCACCTCTTCTGGATGAGCCCTTGAGGACATGGAGCCACCCGATACCCCTGTAGACAGGTCAACCCCCTCCCCATTACGGATTAAGTGGTTTTATACTTTAATTATTACAATTAATATCCAACTTTTAGGAACTGCAGGAAAATATCAATTCTGCTTAAAAACTTTTAAAAACTTAAAAACAAAACTGAAGAACTGGCCGACAGTCGAGTCTACATTGAGGGTCTGAGCTGAGCAATGTTTTGCAACTGCTAAATAAAGGACATCAATCAATCGATAAATCAATCAATCAGTCAGTAAGTCAAAGAATTTTAGATTTTATTTTTACTGCCAACTTGACTTGTTTTTGTATTAGAGAGGAAATATTTAATTTACAAGATTTAATTTGAGATCGTGAGCCTAATAATAATAATAATGATAATAATAATAAAAACGTTATCGAGCAGTTGGTTGAATCTGTCCCCCCCACCATTACTGAAGTGAAAGTTAGCAGACCTGTTGCGCCTCACTCTTTCTCTTTTATTCGCCATATAAACGCACCTCTCTCTGCTGCGTTAGTTTGCAGCGAATATGTGGATTTTTCTCGTGTTTGGACACGTCCGGGCATTTCCACTGCTCTCGTTTTACATCACAATGACCATAAAACGACTGTTAGAAGTGCAAACTGTCACATTTCGCCTCTAGTTTGCGTTTATTGATAGGAAAAAGAAAAGAAAATAGGAAGGTTATGGAAAGCAAGATAAAACAAGAAGCCACCTTAACACATGATATAATAAATATAAATATGACTTGCCTCGGAATGACAGCGATAATTACATCGACAGTGAATTGCAAACTGTTTGAAGATTAGATTAAATGTCAGCGGGCAGCTCAGGGATGTGTGAATTCAGTTCGCAAGTCTGGGGATTCATTTCCATCAGAAAAGGACAAGCAAACACACCGGGCTGAAACAAAAACAAAAGGAAACCTCACATTGACACCATCACTGAGCTAACAATGTCTATTTCTAAATGCTTTTCATGGAACCTTTTGGTTAATACATGTTCATTTAACTGCTGATTGCATCATATGAAGATCACTGCAGGTCAACTCACAGGGAAAGAAATTAGAAATGTCTGAAAACTGTTCCATTTGCGTTTTATTTTGGAGTTTTAAAAGTTGTTTATGGATCATTCTTGTTTGAAATTGCATGCATAGGTTTGGTTGCATTACATGGGCAATTGTGTGACAATAAAGCAACACACAATAAGAAAATCTGGAACAGGACTATTAACATTCAATTTAAGGATACAAATTTGCATTGTTTAACTTTATCAAGCACAATTTGTCAAATCAGCCCACAACATTTGCTGTTTGCAGACCTGCAGTGAGACTTTAATCCAGCTCAAATGAATTACTGTCAGAGGAACAAAAGAACAGTGCTGGACATTATTTACAGTCCAAAAACAGGCCTCCTAGTGGCGATAACAGGGAGTTACTGCATTACTGGATTATTACAGTGAGTGAGTGGTGATTGTACTGTACATAGAGCCAGCGAGGGGAGTCTAACATGGCAGAGACTTCATCATTCTTTCAACAGTGCGGAGACATTGGGGCCCAGTGTTTTCCTCTGTGGAGACACAACTGCTGCTGCAGACGTCAGGTGAGAAACACTCAGCTCTATTTACATGATTTTGTCAAAAAAATTCAAAGCTCTCACTCAGAAAGTGAAAGTGGTTATACTGGTTATCATAAAAGAAAAGTGCTTATTCTGCTTCTACTTGATCTAGAAAACCACACACTCACACAAACACACACACACACACCAGGTGGGCCTCACCTCTACCTCATTCCCCAGGGAGAGGATTGGCTGCCTGCTGCTCGCAGGCCCGGTATCCCTTAGACAAATAAATTAGCAAATTTAAAAAATAAAGGCGAGTAGATAAGAAACAGATGGTCAGATTAGACCATCGTCTTGGATATCTTCAGAGGACCTCCTCACTTGTTAATCGCAGCCTTTATAGTTGCCAAGATAAAGTCCTGCTGCTGATCCTAAGGTCCGTTTTACAGGGCCGGGGGGTGGGGGGTGGGGGGTGATTATTAGCTAGGAGTGAGGATTTACTTACAACACTTTCCAAATAAAATAAGAGTGAAATGTAAATGACATTTTCGACATATTGAATTCTTTAATTTTGTGTCATATTTTGTTTCCGTGGCTGCATTGTGTCACAGGGTTTCTCTCCCTTAGGCCTGGACCACACGTGTCTCTGCCACAGCTGCGGCTGTTTTTGATCCGCTGCTGTAAAGACCCTGCTGCCTCTGCTTCTCTCTGACCGTTATCTCAATACTCTCCTGAGGGATATCATGGATGCTTATTTAGCCCTTCAATGGAAAGTTGCTGCTATCACAGGCATCGTAGCAGCTGATATTCTTTCTGCAAAAGAGGGACGTGTGTGACATATTCATCTTTACAGAGTTCACTGGAGTCAACAATAGGCGACTTGGGGGACATCTGTAATGGACGCCTGTCAGCTCCAGTCTGGTCAGAGGAGGAGATAAGTGATTGAAGGTGTAATCTGTGACCTGAGGTTTGTTTGAAGTGCAAAAATTGATGGCAGCACGCACATCCTTCCCCCACCTTTTTCTTTTGATTTGTGGTCAATACAGCAGACCCCAGGCCCCCACAAATCACGCTGAGTCACCCAGGGACCAGGGCCACAGGGGACCTAGGGTCACAGTGTGGTGCCATTTGAGAGACAAGGTTGGTCCCTAAGTGCACTTAACGTGGAATCAAAATAATTCATATTGGACCCCGATTTGTGCTTCAATCTAGTCAAATCTTGAAGCTAACTGTGAGCCACAGGCGCGGACCTTTCACGTCGGCCTGCTAAGTGCCGACTCTGCTGTGTCAGACGACATCGCACTCCTGTGCCATGGAGCCAGTGCCACACCCTCAGATGTGCGAGGGCACTGCTCCTGCTGAGGGGTTTGCTAATTGGCAGAGCATCATGTCCAACGGCAGGTTATCTGAGGATGACTGTCTGCTTGGGTGTGTGTGTGTCTGCTGCTCCTGCGTGACAATTTGCTTCTGCATGTCTGTATTTTCAGTGCAATAAGAAATGAAAGATCACAAGAAAGCACCAGAATGAAATACATTCTCACAATGTGTAATGGAAAGTTCTGTAAATAAGTCCCAGAGGGCATTGTATTGTACTGTATGAGCCTAATTAAGCCCAGTGGCAGCCATAACACAAACAGCTGTATACTCTTGACCTCAGCATTGACCTGAACAGATATCTCCACCCAATCATAAGATATGTTTGCGCTGATAAGGCTCCTCTATTGTTTCATTTTTGTCGGTCTAAGCACTATTCTTTTAATGAGCGCGGCACCTGTTGATAGGACGCTTTTAAAAATGTCATCATGCATATGCCGGATTAGGTTTAAATAATGATGCAAATATTTTTTTTTGTTAACTGCAGATGGGAATAAATCTTGTTCAGATTGTTCTTGTTGTATGGTTTCAGGGTGTGTTCAAAAAGCACTGGAGTGGGCAGAGGAGCTGAAGGCCCTCCCCATTGTTAATAATTTGTGTTCTTGCACCCTACATTTGAGTCAGAAAATGATTATATTCTATATTTCTATTTCAATAATATCTTAAAATAATATAACAGCACAACATTAGTACAATTATTTTCAATGTGAAGGGCTCTATCTACAGCCAGTGTTTGGTTTGTCTGTTCTGGGCTACTGTACGGCAACCTCCATGGAAGTCTCATTCTAAGGTAACCAAACATAATAATTCTAATTTTCAGGTGATTATAAACTAATGAAAACATACCTATAAATATTATATTCTGTTTCTGCCAATAGATCCTCCTAGATGTTTCACACTGGACCTTTAACTACTTTGGAAATTAACTTTTCACCTAAAGGGAAATTTTAGACATCAAATTCTGTTTCAAGATGTCGGGGAGTACTACTGCATGTGTAAAAAGTAGTTGTATAATGCATAAAAGTGCCTCAAAGTCTGAAGGTATGGAGAATGTATGTGATAAAAAATCAATTTGGATTCACTGTAAAAAAAAATATATATTTATACGGTAGAAAACTGGCAGCTGTGGTTTACCGTAGTAAAAATGTTATGGTAAAAGGTTATTGATTTACAGTTAAAGTTTCAGTTTTATTCTATATTTTACATATAAACCCACATTAAACTGAACTTGAATGCACTAAAATCTTGTTGCTTCCCATCTATTTCCCATTTGATGCTGCTGTATGAAGAGGTAACCCCATTCAGATTTCATTATTCCAACATTTGTTGTGTGTCAGTAAAGTGAACATAGGGATGCATCAAAGCAAAGTTTTCCTTGGATGGCTCACATGAAGCAGAGGGTTTATCAGCACAAGTCACGCTGTCTGTGCCTGGGAGACAGTTGGGTTCGACAGCCATATCAAAACCTAAACACGGCCCAGCCAGAGCCAAACTACAGCAAGCACATTGTTGTTGTTGCCACCAGAAACAAAATCCTGACTGTTTATTTATGACTTATCTACCTTCCTTATTGCATGTCTGCCAAGAAATTAAAAAAAAAAACACACAGACACAATGAGGACAGGATTTTTATTGTGACATTGCGATTTGTTTAAATGTGCTTTTTTTGGCACTTTTACTTCCTGATTGGAATGTTTTGAGCAGATCAACTTAAATGTGAACCCTGACTGACCACCGGTGCTCTCTGCTCGTCCATCCCTGTTGTCTCTGCACCTCCAGTAGCTTGGTCAGGAACAAGGGGGTCACAAGGTGTTTCCCCTCTCCCCTCTTAGGACCCTGGACCACCCCCGCACCCATCCTCTTTCTCCCCACC